AACCCAGCAGGCTCCTAGTTTAGCAAGTGGAGTATGGGCTAGATTTTAGTGTCTTTTCTAATTCTCACTGGGCACTCTTGTTCAGTGCACAACCTGCCCAACTGTGTAGGACAGCCCTGGTGAAGAAGGCTCAAAGGAATAAAGAAGAGAGAAAACCAAAGTAGAGCAGATTGTTAGTGGGCTGAAGGCAGGAGAGGATGGCATTAGGGATGCTTCTTCCTTCAATTTCTGGCTTGCTCAAGTCCCAGGAATAGTCTATACTCTCAGGCTTCATCTCTGAGGTCTGACCAAGATGGCCAGGTCATGCTTACAAACTCATTCATCCATCCACCCATCCCACAAATCGGTCTAAAGCACTTATGTACCAGTCAATTTTTACCTGCTGCTGCCTGCACTCCCGGAGCTGGGCCACTGCCCCTCCATCGGCACAACCCTTTGGGGGAGAGGACCCAGGACAGAAGGAAGATTGAATTGAAGGCCAGAAGGAACCAGCCTCCAAAGAGCATCACAGCTGAGACCTGGCAGGAAGAGAGAAGAGGGAGGGTGCTGGCTGGGGCTACCGGCTAATAGGAGAGCTATGTTACCAATAGTCCTATTTTATACATAAACCGTCTGAGACCCAGGAAGTTGGAGTCATTTGTTTCAAAGTATGCAGCTGATTGAGTAGTAGAGTCAGAATGAAGATCCAGGTTTACCTGCTAACCCCTATCTTTATTGCAAGTACCACCAATTGTCGTTGGGTGGATTCTGTGAGTGCCCTAGTGGAATTGTGCTCCAGTGAGTTTTCAGTGTCTAATTTTTCAAAAGTGGGTTGTCAACCAGACACCTTTCTTTTTAGGCACATCTGGGTGGATTTGAACCGCCAACTTTTCTTTCAGTTAGCAATTCCCCCACTGTTGATTTTGGCAATACCCATCAAACAGGAACTTCAATACCTTAACCAGGTAGGGGGTGTATACTGCACAACACCAGGTAACATTTGCTTTATGTTCATCATAGATTTGTATATTGGTTAGGATAATATTCCAGCAGGTGATAGTGTATATTCTTTTCCTAATTTTCACAAAGTCTTCATGCAGGCTGACAGCTGCCTTCAGAAGCATTTTGGGTGTTTGCTAAAATACAGATTGCCAGGCCCCACCCCATACCTACAGAGTCGGAGACCTGAGGTGAGGTCTAGAATTCGGCAGTTTTGCAAAATTCCACAGGTGATTCCAAAGAGTTATGAGGTTTAAGAAAATTACAAAACACTACTACAAGAAACCAAAAGAGACAGACATAAATTGAGGGATATACCATGCTCATGAATAGGAAGGTTTAA